TCAACAATATGCCACCTCCTCTACCCTTGATATCATCTCGAATGGTCCTACATATCTTGGACTTAACTTTCCATGTTTACTGAAATGCACCATTGCTTTCCACGGTGACATTCTAGGGTCATCCCAATCCAACCAATAACTGGTCTTCATATCTTATTAGTGTAGCTCTTCTTATTAAGTACGACATCCAACCACTTGTGTATTCATGCAAAATTTAACTGATGTCTGTAGATCTATCCATGTTCATGATAGATTAACATACTAGCATCTCGCATGTCTTATTTAAATGCCTCCATGGCTCAGTTTCAACATTTAAATGTTAATTGATGTTGTAAACCAACTCTATTGTTTACACTTTATGATGCTTACTTCCTTAAAGTATAAACATCTAACCTTCCAACCAATCYAACAATGTTAAAATTTCTCCTCTCCTTGACCCTGAGTCCAAGGATGGTATGTTTTGCCCAAGTTCAACATTTTCCATATCCCTTATAAAATACTTGCATGAACACGTGATGTAAAACTTGGATCATTACCCGAGATTGTTAAGTATGGCACTTTATGCATCATTACTTTCCTATCCACCCAAATTTTGTCAACCTTCCAATATACACTTCCTATTAATCAGTTGGAAGTGAGGTAACTTTATGTACCGTTCTAGGTACACTTTTCTTTTAGCAAAATACTCACTCCATCATATTTCACTCCATCACCGGAGTTTCTATCTGTGAAAGCCTAATCGATACCTTATAACTTTCCATCTCTCATGGAAGGCATGTCTTAAAACTCCCTGTAGAGCTTACTATTACTTTTCTTAGTGCCCGGACACCCATAGTCCTCGTCAAACCCTTGAATTTAAATACTACTACCTCTATCTTTATGTTAGAGAACATGACACTTCCTCCCCTTCCATTTTAGCTGGGACKATGCGTAAGCATTAACGTTGCTTATTGCATCAATGTATCTTGACCCAACTTACATGTAACACTATGTACCATACTTGTGTTTCTTCTAGTAATGTCATCATCAGTGCGAGGCTTAACTTCCCCYTTAGCATCTAAAATGCCTTTTTGACTTTAACCAATTCAAACTTATTTGACTCCTGGTTAAACCTCCCATTAACGTAGATTTTAAGAAATATCTATTGGAACTTATATTAGTTTGCTAAAAACCATAAGCCTTAAATATGTAATCCCATCTTTGGCATTCTCAAATCCATTATTGTGTTTGTTTTTGGTTTAACCCAACTAAATCCCACTTTTGTGACAAATAAATTGTGTTTCACCAATTACTTTCATACTTAGAACTAACACAAGGTTTCCTTTTTTTCTTTCAAAAGCCCTCATATCAACCATATGTATTGCTCATGTTTCCCTGCATGTTTGAAGTTGATCGACTAGGTCATCGTCATTGGCAAAACCTTTGCTTTTGTAATTGATCTCATACACATCAAATTTATTGATGCAGACATGCATCATACCATATTTATTTAACTCACACTGTCAATGTTATCCAAGGTGTTAACTGAGCTAAATAAAATCATTGATCAAAGGCTCTTGTAATCTTTTCATCGAATTTGGCTCCTTTGCCACGACAAAATCAAATCAATATCCTCATATTATGTGTTCCCTCTGGAACTAGGTCAATTTGAGGAACCCTCACACCTAGTGATACTTTCG